CGCTCTCTGGGGCGCTATGCATACAGCTCAGTGGGCGGGGCTGGGAACACAGTTCTCAAATTCAGGAGAGGACGGTGTTCCCAAGACACCAGACTACAGCTGACCATGCAGAGAGTCAGGTGACCCGGTCATCCTAAAAATGGCTTCCATTTCTGCCCCGGGGTTAAAGGATAACTCCAACCAACCTCAAGAATACATGAGGGAGCTGAAAGCCGATCCGTGTGTCTGGAGTCCATCAAACAACGATCAGAGAAGACGGAGAGATGAGCCGGAACTGACATCTGTGAACACTTCATGACGGGAATTCCAAACATTGCTGGTTTTACTGTAACCCGCCATTACCAAAACTCCTTATCTATATTTATATGAGAGGGGGGGAGGGGGTGCACTTGTAGTAGTTTACTTGTTTATATAGCTCCAACATATACCACAGTGCTGTACAGAGAACACTGAGCCAGTCACATTGGTCTCTGTACAGAGGAGCTTACACTCTAATGTCCCCCCACAGTCACAATCGAGGTTACGAGGGCAGCGCGTCTGAGAGGCCGATTGTAATGCTTCCAGTAACCCTTCGGTGATCGGAGGCCCGGCGCACAATGGAGCCGGGTACGGCGAGGGCCACGACGCCAATCCATCGCCCGCTGTATCGGACAGGCGTACGGCGCCCCACAGCAGGCATTAAAGGCCGACTCCGCACTTATTCTAACGGGGGAGCTCTGATTACTCTGGAGCTGCCAGCACAGTTCCTCTTCTTTGCCACTAGATGTCCTCTGGGATTAAATGACACCCAGCAAGACTGAGGAGAGACTGTGAATGTCGGGTGTCAGGGCTCCGCCCCCTGAGCATGTAGCCCTGCAGTTATTGATTGTCGAGGGCGGGGCTGATGTTATCAGGTCCGCATTGTCCAGGATCGCTCGCCGCTGGGTGGAGACAGAAGAGGAACTAGCATGTCATGTGACCGTCAGGAAAAGGTAAGTGGGGGCCTCAAGGGGGTCCTCTGGGGAAGAGAGGAGCCCAGAGTTGGGATTTGGGCATAGAAGGCTGACCTCTTGAGGCCCCCCACTTACCTTTTCCTGACCAGTCACATGACACACTGATTCCTCTTCTTCTTATATAGAGGTGACCACTAGAGGGAGCACCTACAAGTCTGTCTATAGAACACAGCATAAATATGGAACAGCAAAGGTGTAAAAATCCATTTATAAGATTACTTTATAAAAAAGAAACGTTTTGGGCGTTCTAATCAACAAAAAGAAATAAAAATACACGTGCGGGCAGCACAGGGTGCCGTCTCTGCCCTAGGCCGGGCCGGGCCGGAGCTGTGACGTTGGCAGTAGGTGAATGAGCGTTGGTGGGGGCTCCTGTATACACACGGCTGTGTGTCTCCTCTCCTCGGCTGTATACACAGGGATTAGTGTGCACACACACAGAGGGGCTTTTATACCAGAACACCGGCCGCATTCACCCGCCGACCCCGCTCAGCGATCCCCCTTCAAAGGCCTTTAATTGGGTTTATGGAGCTGGTGGTGGCGGGGGAGGGGCGGTATTACTGTAAATGCATCCGGATGGAAACCGCACCGGCAGCACCGGGATACTGTATGGTGAGGAGTTCATGTTTGATACAATGTATACAGTTCTATGGATGTCGTGTTACATTTGTGTCATTGCTGAGGTGCTGGCTGTGGAAAACTGACCATCTTAAAGGGGAAGTACGGCGAATCTTCAGTTTTTGTTGCTGAGGTGCTGGCTGTGGAAAATTGGCCATCTTAAAGGGGAAGTACGGGGAATCTTCAGTTATTGTTGCTGAGGTGCTGGCTGTGGAAAACTGACCATCTTAAAGGGGAAGTACGGGGAATCTTCAGTTTTTGTTGCTGAGGTGCTGGCTGTGGAAAACTGACCATCTTAAAGGGGAAGTACGGGTAATCTTCAGTTATTGTTGCTGAGGTGCTGGCTGTGGAAAACTGACCATCTTAAAGGGGAAGTACGGCGAATCTGCAGTTATTATTGCTGAGGTGCTAGCTGTGGAAAATTGTCCATCTTAAAGGGGAAGTACGGCGAATCTTCAGTTATTATTGCTGAGGTGCTGGCTGTGGAAAACGGGCCATCTTAAAGGGGAAGTACGGCGAATCTTCAGTTTTTTTGCTGCACAGACAATACTAGGGGAAGAGTAAAGGAGAATACTATAGAGCAGAGGTAGACAAACTCCAGCCCTCCAGCTGTGGTGAAACTACAAATCCCATCATGCATCTGCCTCTTGGGGGGGTCATGCCTGTGGCTACCGGGGTCTTGTATTTCTGAGAATGGGCAGCGCAGCGGTTTGGCAGTTAACATATAATGATTGTCATTGCGCTCTATGTCCCCCCTCCCCCCCCCCGCGCGGTATAAACGTGGAAGTCACCAGAGTGTTACAGCTCATGGAAAATCCTTCCCCTCTGCCAGGAGCCGGAGGGACAATGCCGAGGATCATGCAATGAAGGAGAACACGCTCACAGAGCGCCGGCCGGGGACCCTCGCAGCGCCGGGGGTTCCGGGTTCATTTCCTATGAACGGCGGGTCCTCACGCAGTACATGGATTGGCTTAGGCTTCATCACATGTCTGCCCCGGGTCCAGAAACCGCTCCGGACACTCCGGAACCCTCTCGCGAGCCAGCCGCAGGCGGCAGGTCCCTTTAAAGCTAATCAATGAATCGGTGTGATTCTTCCATGAACGCACAGCTGATGGGAGGAGCATCGGGGTGCCGGGGGAGAACGAATGGCGCCGCACCGCGCACTTATCCCGCGACGCATTGCGTTTGTGCGACGGCGCGCGCTAAACGCCACCAGCGCTCCGGTGCGAATGGGCCCGAAGGCCACACGCGGCTTCTCATTCCAGCATTTTATTATAGGGAACTGTAACTAGAGAATTCACCCCAAAATCCCAGACACGTGACTGGCAACGCACTCAGAGACACCCCCCGAATCCCC